TCGCAGCGCTTCTTGCTCGCCTTCTTCTCTCGAAACCACCCGCAGTCCTTGCCCGACTTGCCCTTGTAGAGCCACGACGACGAGCTCGCGCACGCGCCGGAGTCTTCCGTCGTCTCGTCCTCCTTCTCGGTGTCGTCTTCCTTCTCGGTCTCGTCCTCCTGTTCGGTCTCGTCTTCCTTTTCGGTATCGTCCTCCTTTTCGTCGACGTCCTCTTCGTCCTCATCTTTCGCGTCGCCGTCGCCCCGGCCTTTGCCCTCGTCCTCGTCCTTCGCGTCGTCGTCCTTTTTCCTCCCGCCGTCGCCGCGGCCCTCGCCCTCGTCCTCGTCCTTCGCGTCGTCGTCCTTGCGCCCGTCGCCGCGGCCCTTGCCGTCGGTCTCGTTCTTGCCCGGCCAGACCTTGTCCGTTTCGTTCTTGCGCGGCCAGTCCTTGTCTTTCCAGTCGCCGTCCGTCTTGTTCGTCCACTCGGGCCAATCCTTCCAGTCGCCGTCCGTCTTGTTCTTCCATTCCGGCCAGTCCTTGTCCTTGCCGTCGGTCTCGTTCTTGCTCGGCCAGTCCTTGTCCTTGCCGTCGCCCTTGCCCTTGCCGCCGCCCTTGCCGCCGTCGGGCTTCAGCCCGCGCTCGTGCCGCGCGGGCGAGGCCGCGGCGGAGGCGAGGAGGAGGATGCATGCGAGGAGCTTGGTCATCTTCGTTTGTTGCTGCGTGCTTTTGTTGGTGTGCTATTGCTTGGGATTGGGCTGAGCCCCATGGTCATCGGGGGCTGCCAGGATGCCTCTCTATGCCTCGCCTTCCCGGCAATCATCCCGCGGGCTGCGTCGTGCCGTTTGCTGCGTCACTTCAATGAATTTGAAATTGCCGAACACGAAGGGTGATGATGGACGCGCTATCAGCGTGAAGCATTTCAGAGCATCCGCAGCTGCAGAGGTTCGAACCGACCGAGCCACGATGAGCGCCCACACCTTGGTGACGACCGACGACGCCCACACCCTCGAGACGGACTTCGAGGTCCCCGCGCCGCGCATCATCATGCTCACGGGCAGGCCGGGCGTCGGCAAGACGACGATCGTGCGCGCGGCGCTCGACGCGTGGACCGCAAACGGCCGCGCGGCCGCGGGCTTCCACACGCGCGAGGAGCTCAGGGACGACGGCCGGCGCGCGGGCTTCGAGATCGTCGCCGCGGACGGCCGCACCGCGTCGCTCGCGCGGCGCGAGGCGCGGGGCGGCAAGAAGAGCCACGTCGGGCGCGTCGGCCAGTTCAAGGTGAACACGGACGCCGTCCGCGACGTCGCCATGGATGCCCTGAAAAGCGCCGGCGGCGACCGGCTGCTCGTCCTGGACGAGATCGGGCGCATGGAGCTGCTCTGCGAGGGCTTCGACGCCGCGGCGCGAGATGCGCTCGACGCGTCGCGCGTCGGCGTCGCCACCGTGCCGTCGCGGGCCACGGAGCCCTTCGTCGCCGCCGTCAAGGCGCGCGCGGACGTCCTGCTTTTGGAGGTCACGCGAGAAAACCGCGACGCGCTGCTCGTCGCCGTCCGCGACGCGCTCGCCCGGAACGTCGTCGACGCGGCCGCGCTCCGCGCGGCCGCGGACGCGCCGCCGCGCGAGCCGGCGACCGCCGCGGGGCCGCTCGGCGACCCGGCGACGGCGACGCGCCTGCTCCTCGGCGAGACGGCGTCGCCCGACGGCCCGGAGCCCTACGGCGAGCGGTCGTTCTGGGCCGTCTTGTCGCAGGTCTGGGACCTGCCGGAATCGCACGCGGACCGCGTCGCGGTCCTCCGGCGCGAGCGGCTCGTCGTCTGGGACGTGCACGCGACGCTCCACGGCGCCAAGCCCCCGGTGCCCAACGACCTCGGCGCCTTCTTGGCGCGCCACCCGTCCATCGGGCTCGTGCTGCTCAACGGCGGCGCCGCGCGCGCGTTCAGCCGGCTGCGCGTCGAGACGGACGCCAGCGTCGTCGCGCTGCCCAGTTCGAGCCCCCGCGACGCCGGCGCGCGGGCGCGGGCCGTCGCGGCGTGGCGGGACGCGCTCGAGGGGGCGTAAGGGGGTCTCGCTGGACGCATGCCGAGGCTGGGCGCGCCGACGACGTCGTTCGGCGACCTCAACGCGTGCGTCAACGCCGATCACTGAAGTTTTCAAGTCACCTGAGCACAGGCGTCGAGGGCATGGCCTCTGACCTTTGAAAAAGCCCAGCGCGTGCGACCCCCAGTGGCAGCAGCGCTCCCGAGTCGCCGCCGCGTCGACGTCGACGACGCTCGCCGCGTCGACGTCGCGGTGAAAGCCCAGCGCGTCGCGGCCGCAGAGCGGACCTCGCTGGCACCACACCATGTACCAGCCCGCGGACGCCGGCTTCGCGTCCTACTTCCTGTCGATGCTGTCGGACGCGGATCGCAACGACGCCTACGAGCGCGCCATCGAGGCCTGCATCGGCGACTTCGAGGCGGCCGAGGGCCGCGCGCCGCGCGTCCTCGACCTCGGCTGCGGCACGGGCCTGCTGACGGCGTACTGCCTCAAGCACGGCGCGGCGTCCGTCGTGGCCGTCGACACGAACCAGACCATGGTCAACCTCTGCCGGCGCGCGCTCGGCAAGGAGAAGCGCGCGACGATCTTCCCGGGCACCGTCGACGACTACGCGGATTCATTGGACGAGGAGCCAATGTTCGACGTCGTCGTCACGGAGACGCTGGGCACGCTGCACACGTCGGAGAACATGCCCGAGTACCTCGCGGCGGCGGCGCGGTACCTGGAAGTGTTTGACAATGACCGGGTCTACGTCGTGCCGAAAGCCGCGCGGACGCTCTGCCGCGCGGCCGTCGCGCGGCCGCGCGGCGAGAGCGCCGTCGACGACTACCGCATGAAGCTGCTCTACCACATGACGTCGGCGCCCGCGTGGACCCCGACGAACGAGCTCGGCCTGCTGCTCTTCGACTCGGGGCCCGGCGCGTCCATCGTCGTCGACGGCGGCTCGGCCGTCGAGCTCCGCCGCGACGACTTCGCGACCCTGGACGGCGACGGCCGCTTCCCGGAGAAGGCCTGCTGCCGCGTCGCGACGCCGCTGGACTGGCCCGACGTGGGCGACGACGAACCCGCGGTCTGTTTGGCGGTCCTGGAGTTCGAGTGCGAGCTCTGGGGTGATGTTGTTTTATCAAATACGATGCGATCGCTCGGCGCGTGCCTCGCGGCGCGCGGGCCGGCCGTGGCCTGCGGCAAGTACGACGCCTGGGGCTTCATGGTCGCCGGCTGCGACCGGGGCGCGTCGGCGTCGCTCAAGGCCTACAGCCGGAACGGCGTGCCCAGGGTGGCGCTGGGCCGGCTGGAGGTGAGGGGCGAGATCAACGACGTGAGCCCGCGGCACGCGCAGGAGATGCGCGCGCTCGCGGGGAGTCTGGGGGACCTCGGCGGCGACCTCGCGGGCAAGCGCGTCCTCTGCGACCAGTGCGCGGGCCGGGCGTTGTTGTTGAACGACGGCGACTCTGTTGTCGAAGCCGTCGCGCTCTACGAACCGGACGCGGCGTTGCGGGCCATCGCGGAGGAGGCGGACCCGGACTTGTTCACCTTCTCCACGTCGCGGAACCTCGCGGGCGCGCTCGACGACGCGGGCGGCCCGCTGGATGTTGTTGTCGTTGCGGACTTTTTGCTCGCGAGCGAACTGCTCTACGGCGCGGCGCCGTCGCCCGCGCGGCGGTCGCCGGCGGCGCTGCGGGCCGGCGCGCCCGTGCTGCCGCGCCTCGAGCTCGCGACGGAGCTGCGGGTCTATGATTTCGCGGCGCTCGCGGCGCGGTGGACGTCGCGGCCGCGGTGCGTCGTCGTCGGTTTAGAAGCGATCGTGCCGAACACGCGGCGCGCGCGGAAGGCGCGGCCGTTGTTAAAAACGGACGCGACGGCCGGCGGCGCGCACTGGTCCCTGGACCTGCTCGAGCAGGCGGCCGACGCGCGCGCGCCGTCCGCGCGGACGCTGCTGGTCGTGCGGCCGACGCGGAACGTCGCGGGCCGGTCGCTCGAGGCGCGCCACGCGGACTGCCAGACCCTCGGGTCCCACGTGCTCGACGTCACGGACCTCGACGACGCGTCGCGCCACCGCGGCAACTGGACCCTGTCCGTCGCGGGCCGGGAGCCCCCGCGGCTCGCCGCCGCGCCGCGCGCCGAGCTCGTCCGCGTGCCGTCGCGGAGCTCGCCGGACCTGTGGTACCGGCGCGGACGCGCCCCGCGCGCCGCGGCCGGCGGCGGCGCCGCGGCCGGCGGCGAAGCGCGCCGCGCCCGCGCCGCGCGCCGCGCCGCCGCGGACGAAGCCCCGCGTCGCCGCCGAGCCCGCGCCCGCGCCGGCGCCGGCGAAGAAGAAGAAGCGGCGCGCGCCGTCGCCGCCGCGGCCGGGCGCGGGCCGCCGGTCGGGCCGGAAGCGGACGGCGCCGAAGCGGCCGGGCGACTCGTCGTCCTCGGAGGACGACGACGACGACGAGGAGGAGACGGCGTCGTCGACGGCCGCGAGCCTCGGGCCGCCGTCCGCGCGCGACGACCCGCGGTACGCCTACGCCGACGGCGTCCCCTCCGTCGGCCGCTTCGTCCGCGACGTCTACGCCAACGCGGGCGCGCGCGAGGGCATGGTCGTCGAGGTCAACCGCGGCGGCTGGCGCGTCGTGCTCTCGTCCGACGGCGAGCGGTGGACGAAGCGGAGCTCGGCGCTCGGCGCCGTCCCGGACCGCGGGCCGCCGGCGGCGCTCGTGGACCGCTGCGCGGCCCTGGGCGTCGCCTACAAGGCGACGGAGGACGAGGACGAGGCGCCGGAGGGCGAGGACGAGGCGCCGCCGGCCGCCGCGCCGCCGCCGGTCCTCGAGCCGGCGGCGCCGGGCGTCCTGCTCACCAAGCCCTTCGTGATCCCCGGCGAGCCGGCGGCCGTCGCCGCGGCGCCGACGCGGTCGCCGCGCTTCGCGGGGTCCCCGCGGTCGCCGCCCCCCGCCAGGCCGCCCAAACGGCCGTCGACGCCGTTCTTCGTCGAGGCGAGCCCGCGAGCGCCGACGCCGGCCGCGCCGCCGATGCCCGCGGTCGAGGCCGAGGCAGCGCCGCCCGCGACCTTCGCGATGCCGCCGCCGCCCGCGCCCGCGGTCGAGGCCGCGCCGCCGCCGCCGCCCGCGATCTTCATGATGCCGCCGCCCGCGCCCGCAGTCGAGGCCGCGCCGCCGCCGGCCGACTCGGCGCCGCAAATACCGATGGTTGGCGTCGAGGTCGCGCCGCCGGCGCCCGCGGCCGACGCGCCGCCGGCGCCCGCGCCCGACGTCGACGCCGCGCCGCCGGCGCCCGCGGCCGACGCGCCGCCGGCGCCCGCGGCCGAGGTCGACGCCGCGCCGCCGGCGCCCGCGGCCGACGCGCCGCCGGCGCCCGCGGCCGAGGTCGAGGTCGTCGAGATGACCGACGGCGCGGAGCAGGCCGACGAGCGGCCCGCGGCCTATCGCGCCATCTGGCCCGCGGCCGACGGCGCCGACGGGCCCAGACGCCCACCGCCGGCGCCGCTCGACTCGTTGCAGCGCCTCGGACGGTCCCCGACCGCGGCCGCGCCGGCGCCGTTCGGCGTGCTCCGCGAACGCGGCGGCGGCCCGCCCGGCGCGGAGCACGCCGACGGCCCGGAGCCCGGCGCCGAGCCCAGCGTCGAGCCCGCGGCCCCGCCGCCGGCGCCCGCCGACGGCTCCGCGGCGCGCGACGCCGTCGCCGCCGTCGCGGCGCGCTACGCGCCGCCGGAGGCGTCGCGCGGCGCCGCGGAGTTCGCCGACGCGCCGCTGCGGCGCGGCAAGTGGACGGAGGCCGAGGAGACCTACACGGAGCTGCTCATCCAGCACTTCCTCGCGGGCGTCGTGCCCGTGTGCGCCGAGGGCACGTCGCTCCGCGCGTTCCTGGCCGCGCGGCTCCACTGCCTGCCCATGCGCGTCACGAAGAAGTTCGCCGTCGCGGCCTCGGAGAACGTGCGGGGCGCGGCGCTGGGCAAGCACCTCTTCCGCCGCGCGGGCTACCTCGACGAGCGCGAGCTCGGAGAGCTCCGGCGGCTCGAGGCCTCGTTCGCGAGCGCCGAGGACCCGACCTTCCGCCAGCCGGGGCTCCGCGCGCCGGAGGGCGCCCGGGCGGCGCCGGCCGCCGCGCCCGACGCGCTCGCGCTCCTCGCGGCCGCCGGCGCCTCGAAGCGGCCGCGGCCGGAGGACGCCGCGGACGACGCGGACGGCCCGCCGCGGCCGAGCGCGTGGGCGCTCAAGCGCCTCGACGCATCTTCCGAGGACGGCGCCCGCGCGGCGCCGGAGGCGGAGGGTCTCCCGCCGCCGAACCCGCGCGAGCGGGCCGCGCGCGAGGCGCCGCGCTCCGCGGCGCCGGCCGCGCGCGCGCCGTCGCCGGCCGCGGGCGCGTTCCTCGTGCCGCTCCGCGTCGGGCGCGCCATGACGCCGGGCACGGTCGTCGAGATGTCGCTCGGCGGCGCCAAGTACCGCGCCGTCGTCCCCGCGGGCGCCGTCGAGGGCCAGACCGTCACGCTCCCCTCGTCGGCGCTCGCGCGCGTCCCGGACCCGGCGGCGACGCCCGCCGCCGCGCCGCCGGCCCTGCCGGCGCCGGGCTCGCCGCGGGTCGTCTTCCGCGGCTCGCCCTGGTAATGAAGGTCAAAATGTGCGCCTTGAGCCGATTCTTGAGCCTTTCTTGCATCGCCGTTGAAGAGTGTGAATTCTTGGTGCCAGTGCACAACTTGGGAAGCATGGCATGGCTTCTTGGGCAGTTTGCCGCGCGCGCGCGCGGCTTCGCGTCGACGTCCATGTCCACTCGCGCTCTGAGCCGGCCGCTGGCGACGACGTCCACGGCCCGCCCGAAGTCATCAACCCTGAGCCGGCCGCAGGCGCGCGTGCTCGCGCTCGCAACGCTCAACAAGGAGTACGAAGCCCTCGAGCGGCTCACGGAGGAGCGCGTGCGCGCCCTGCGCCGCGCCCTCGACGAGGCGTCGAAGCCGCTCTTCGAGCGGCGGCGGCAGATCGTCGCGGGCGAGGGCGCCGAGCCGACGGACGCCGAGGTCGCCGGCGCGGGCGACGACGACCGCGAGGCGGCCGCCGACTTCGACTACGACGACGACGTCGGCGGCGTCGAGTTCTTCTGGCTCTCGGTCCTGCGCCAGTTGCGCGTCGGGGACGAGCTCGTCGTGAGCGCCGCCGACGAGGTGCCGCTCCAGTACGTCGAGGACGTGCGCTTTTCGACGGAGGGCGCCCCGGGCGACGCGAACGAGACGGTCGTCGTGTCGCTGGACTTCCACCCGGCGGCGCGCGGCGCCGTGCTCGCGGCCGACGCGCCGCTGACCGTGTCCTGCGCCTACGCGCGCGACGCCGCGTCGGGCCGCTACCTCCGGTCCGCGGGCGCGGCCGTCGGCTGGCTCGCGCCGGACTGCGACCCCCGCGCGCGGACGACGTGGCACCCCGACGGGTCGTCGACGCGCGCGGCGCGCGCGAGCTTCTTCCGCGTCTTCTGCCGCTGCGACGACTTCGAGAACCCCTTCGCCGCCGACGAGGACGACCTCGACACCGCGGGCGACGGCAACGTGCTCATCGACGACGCGGACGAGCCGTTCCAACCGTGGCGCCAGCCGGACCTGACGGCCGAGGTGCTCGACGAGCTCGAGGACGCCGTCAAGCGCGCGGGCGACCTCTTCCTCCACCCGCGCGACGAGGACGAGGACTACTGGGAGGAGGCGGACTGGGGCGACCGGTAACGACCCTTAGCCGACGGAGCTGGGGCGCGACGGCGGCGCGGGGCGCTGCGAGATGGGCGGCGGCGGCCGCGGCGGCGCGGGCGGCGGCGGCGGCCGCGCGGCCTCGGGCGAACTCTTCGGCGACGGCGGCGCGGCCGGCGGCGACGGCGGCGGCGGCCGGCCGCCCGCCTTGCCCGGCGCGACGAGGATGAGGCGCTCCGTGATGGCGATGGCCGGCTGGAGGTCCAGCATGGCCGTCGGCGCCTCCGGGTCGAGGAGCATGACGTTCGGCGCGAAGCAGATCGCGAGGTTCTCCGCGGTCATCATGTTGACGTCCGCGCGGCGCTGGACGTCGTGGAGGAAGTGGAGCAGCTCGAGGAAGATGGTCAGCGCGAGGTCCGGGCCGCCGAGCGCGGCGGCCGCGGCGGCCGCGAAGGCGCCGTCGTCCGCGTGATCGTGTGACAGGCCGCGGAGCGTTCGGTTCAGGTCCTCGGCCACCAACGGCCCGTCGCGCTCGCGGAACCACATCTTCGTCAGCGTCGCCGCGTCGTCGAGGTCCAGCGCATCGGCGACGGCCCGCGGGTCGCCGCCGGCGTCGAAGTCGCGCTTCGCGGCGTCGACGGATTCCGAGTTGCCCGGAATGCGGAAGACGCCCTCGCGGTCCAGGCCGCCGTTCCGCAGCCGCTCGAGGAGAGCGCGCAGCGCCGCGGCGGGCGCGGGCCCCAGCGGCGCGCCGAAGACCTCGCCCGCCTTCTTCGAGGGCGAGGAAGTCGCCTCCCTGTCCGGCGCGGAAAAGCTGGGGAGCCGCGGCGGACTCTCCAAAAGCGCGGAGAGCTTCTTGAAGTCGTCGCCGGGCGGCGCCGACGGCCGCAGGCCGCCCTTGAGCTCCCCGGCCTTGAGCTTCGCGTGGTCCCGCGCCAGCCCCGCCTCCTGCCGCGCGGCCCAGCCGCGGAGCGCGTCGGCGCGCGCGTCGGGAAGACGAACGACGCCGCGCCGACGCCCCGAGCGCGCGC